AGAGGCGACCGTGCGCGTTGAGCTGATGGACTCGCTGCCACACATCGCGCTGCTCTGCCACGAGTCATGGGGCATGCCCAAGTGCATCCTACCTGTCGTCGTCACCTACCTTCACGACTCCAACAACCAGGTAAGCTGTCGTTGTTACCTACCTACACGACTCCAACAACCAGGTAAGCTGTCGTCGTTACCTACCTACACGACTCCAACAACCAGGTAAGCTGTCGTCGTTACCTACCTACACGACTCCAACAACCAGGTAAGCTGTCGTCGTTACCTACCTTCACGACTCCAACAACCAGGTAAGCTGTCGTCGTTACCTTCCTTCACGACTCCAACACCACCTAGCCTAGCAACCACGTCACCTATCAACCGCATCGCCTAGCAACTGCATTGCCTAGCAACCGCGTGTGTGTATGGTAGTCACATAGCAACGGTGTCTGTCCTGTTATCCTAGCTACTGTGTCGCCTAGCAACCGTGCGTGTGTATGCTAGGTGACGTGTGTATGCTAGTCACCTAGCAACGGTGTCTGTCCTGTTATCCTAGCAACCGTGGGCCTTCATCAGCTATCCTAGTCACCTAGCAACATACCTTCTTAGCAACAGTGGGTCTCCTAGTCACCTAGCAACATACCTTCTTAGCAACAGCGGGTGTCCTAGTCACCTAGCAACATAGCTACTTAGCAACAGCGGGTCACCTAGTCACCTAGCAACATAACTTCTTAGCAACAGTGGGTCTCCTAGTCACCTAGCAACATAGCTTCTTAGCAACAGCGGGTGTCCTAGTCACCTAGCAACATAGCTACTTAGCAACAGTGGGTGTCCTAGTCACCTAGCAACATAGCTTCTTAGCAACAGCGGGTCTCCTAGTCACCTAGCAACATACCTTCTTAGCAACAGCGGATATCCTAGTAACTTGGCAAGTGTGTTTTCCCGCTCTACTGGTAACGTTATCAACTATCTGCTGTCCTGGTGCCCTAGCTACTGTGTGTTTTAAGTTGTTATTCTGTTAACCTAGCAACGGCGTGTTTTAATTAGTTATCCTGGCAACGCAGCGATCGTGTGTGTTTAAGAGGCCATCCCGGTAACCTAGCAACGGCGTGTTTTAATTTGTTATCCTGGTAACGCAGCGATCGTGTGTGTTTAAGAGGCCATCCCGGTAGCGAAATTTTTTTTCCCACGAGAGTTCCGGACCCCAGCCAATCAGCGCACTCCTTTTCACTCGACTTCCTCGAAGCAACAATGTAAAATTTATACACCCTAA